TGCATAACCAACCTTATACATACAATCAAGAGATAATGAGTCTACAGAAAAACTGAATATTGTGATGTGTTTAGTTTATTGAACGTCAAAGCTGGTAACGTGGTTACGCCCCTGAATGACAATGGGACGTCTATATGGTCAAGCATGGAACTACGCTGTATACGGTTGGTTATGGTCACAGATGCAAATAGACGCTATTCAGTCTGTGTTTGGTTTACGCAATCTTGGCATGGAACGCGAATACTGGTAGCATGGTGAGTACTGAACTTAGCTACAAATGTGATGCTTATGTGGCAGATGCTCCTTGTTTTTCTTCATAGTAGCAAACAATGTCATTCAGAGACGACGGGAAGCTGTAGATTTCTCCTGCCTAAGGCCGTATCGTCAGTCGTCCCTACAATTGTAGGGCGCGTTTATGGCCTCCTTGATTGTTATACTACTTTCTCTCCTTCAAAAATTTCTAGATTACACTTGTCCCGTGTCAGCGTCAGCGCTCTCCTATTGTGAAGATATGTTTTCTTTTTAAATTGTAGGAAATTTAATGCTGATAAAACATGATATAACTCAAAAACAAGCACAATTTGATGCAAGTAGATGTTTGTGACATAACCTCAAAATAGAGTTCTGACACGGAGAAGTAGAAAACTATGACAATCAAGGAGGCCATAAAGGCGCCCTACAATTGTAGGGACGACTGACGATACGGGCCTAAGGTAAGGGTTGGTAGATAGCGAAACTACTCACAGCTGGCGTGTCACCTATTTTTGAAATTTTTTTAGTAATTGAAACATCCATTTTTCAAGGTTAATACAGTTCGTCTTCAATTTTAATGCTTGTATGTTGAAAAAAGCGTATCTGAAGTTCATACAAAGAGAACTCATTTTAGTTTTCACTGTTTCCCGCCAAAGTAATGAATCATTGATATTTTGTTGGTGGACGTGTAACCTCCATGATATAAGTAGGTTCACGTTCTGAGGGTAAGGCGTGGAAAACTTATTACATCACCACAGAACTTCAGCACGCGTATTCTGTATCGTCTAAGAAATAAATTTCTTTCTGTAAACTCTCTATCGCACTTTACCCTATTCTGTAAGATGTTTCGGCAGCGATCGGGTTGCACGAAGGCATTGTTCGGTATAAAGGAATAGAAAGACAATATTACCTCTTTCTATAATCACATCCAAGCGAATAACCAAAATTTCTGTGTTATGTGCCGCGGTTATAATATGGTTCAAGATGACACACGGGTTGATGACGTCAGTTACACGAATCGCTTGAACGCGTTGGTTTTAACCGCGGTTTTGTTGCAAGTTGTTTATTTTAGAAAAGCGCGTATATAATCTCTGATTATTTTTATTATCACTTAATAATCGGTGCTTTTTCGTCTACAACTGTATATGGAAAGTTTAAATAAGAAACCTTTCATAATATTCATGGGAGAAATGTATTTTTCAGATTTTTTTTTTCAATGATGGAACCATGGCTTTGTAGCTATGATAACTTTCAATTCTCTAAATTTTTCCGCATGTCAAAGAAAACATTTAGTGATACAGCAGAAATGATGAAAAAAGAATTTAGCAAAACCGTATACAGGTGGATATCATCTAATGCGTTTATATGGCCATATTTTAATATTCTTGTGGTATATGGCTACACAGATACTTTTTTTAAGCATAGGAACTACATTTAAAGTGTCCCCAACAACCGTAATGAGTATAACTAATAAGGTGCTCCACTTTATGGTAAAACTGAAGTCAGCCTGTATCATTTTTCTCAAAAATGAAGCTGAAGTACAATAACAATATCCAATACCCGGCCAAATTCCAACTTGTCACATTTCAAATAATAACCAGAAATATAAAACTACTCTTGAGTTGGGTAAATACCACAATTTTGCGGTGATAACTATGACATATAACAGCTGATTCGTGACGTCACGGATCTTATAACCAAACTGATAACTACACTCGCTTGAACGGATTGGTAAATACCAACCCAAAATGGTAAATACCATTTCCATTTGGTTATCCGCATGAATTTGATTTATTATTCTCGTCTCTTTTTAACACACGCGTACTTATTGCATCTTTGTCGGTAGTCCGCATGTTGTCTACATTTCGTAAAAGTGGGGTTATGTATATGTTAATAACAACGACGGTTAATAATAATCATCTACAAGTGAATACCATGGGTAAGTCTCAGTTTAATACCAAACTACTTAATTTTCAAATAACATTTTCCAGATAAACGAGATTTTAAGACTCATCCTCAACAGTGGAGCACTATTGTGGACTTTGGAGAAGAGCATCCCACAATTTTTAGACCACAATTCAAACATGGTGACGGTGATGCTAGACAAAATGCAATATGTTGGGAGAATCTAGTACAATCATTGAATTCGATGGGATTTGGGTTTAGGAGTGTGGAGAAATGGAAAATGGTTTGGTTTTTATATCATGACCGTATATATTTACCTATATCGTGCTTGTTGCACAAATTATAGACAGTAGTTTACCACTTAGGTTTACTTTATACAACTGGAAAAAACTTTTGATTATTCTAAAGTTCTTTGAGAATTCGTATTTTAAACGTTCAAAGCACAAACCACCTCCCGCAGCTTACCAAATTGATTAAAATTATGTCAGTTTGTCATTTAAAAAGATACAAATATATGTACTATGAAATACTTAAAGAATGAATGTGGGTGTTTATTAATGTTTAGTATTGGACTGTGCTATATCAATAATTTATCATTTTTATATATTGCTTTAGGCTGTTGGTAGATGGAAATTAGGTAAGGTAAGGTTAAGGCAGCTGAGGATCGAGAGCCAAAAAACTGGTGGTGGCTGTTTAAATGCAGCTCCTTTAACAGACACAGAGGAGCGACTAATGAAATTAATTGTTGGAAATCAGTAACAGGGAATAGCAATGCAGAGCTGGGATTGGTAACTATGTCATTTGATACTTTTAATTGAAATTGTAAGTAGAATTGTAATATGCAGGGTGAGCTTTCAGTGTAGCCTCGGTTGATAACTCTGTTATTAAACATGATATCCATCAATCAATTTTCAAATGAGGCACCCTGTATATTTTAACATCCTCTCATTGCCCTTTAACAGGGTTGACTCTTTTTAATTCAGATATGAATGGAAAAAAAATGAAAAATATTACATTACATTCCCAAATAAAACATAGCATAATGGCAGAGCTAGCGACTGAGCCCTGTATGTACTTACAATACAAACATTTTTATCTACAGGGATCCATCCGGCCCATCGCAGCACACCAGCCACTGCCAGAGTTGAAACCCTTCATAGAAGGAAACACCAGTAAAACTGCAACACTAGATCCTCAACCTTCTTGCAGCACAGTATCGAAGTCGCCTCCAACACTAAGGTTATTTAATCAAGAACCAGCCAGAAAACGTGGTCGACTATCTACTGAAAAATCAAGGAAATTTGTTTCCTTGGCAAAAATGCATCAGGAGGCCATGGAGGAAAGGAAAAAATTGAGAAATATTGTCAAACGACAGGCTGAAGCCCAAGAAGCAATGGCTGGAACACTCAACGAACTTTTGGCCTATATAAGAACAAAAGATAAAAATGAATAAACATAATAGTGCATTGTAAACAATGTGATTTTAGTTTTAGAAGTATAAATAATATTTATAGAATTTATTTTTGTTTGCTCTTAGATTGTTTGACTGAATAATGATTCATTGTAATGTTTGTTTGTGGAAAACCTTTGTTTTTGTTTCATGGTGTTTTTCACAATAAAATATTTTTTTTTAATTTTAGTTTCATTTTATTTGAAATATCTATCTAACATTTTGAAAATACAATTGTATTATGTTGACTCTCCTTGCCTGCCCTTGTTCAAGAACATTGCTTACAATAGCATCCGAATCTGGAACATCATTATCATCTTGCTCCTCTTCTTGATCTTCCATATCCATATTAGCCCTAACACACGTTGTGTAGGACACTAGTGGCATTGATAATTTGACCAGCTCTGAAGGGGGCATAATGTAAGACCCTGTCTTTCAATAGACAACGAAACCTATTTTTCAAAACTCCTGAAACAAAATTTTCTCATTTAGTACAAAAATATATTAATAATAAACATTTTTTATAAAATACCTATATATCTTTCCACACAATTCCTGGTTCTTGTCAAAGCTGCCATATATCTACCTTCATGAGTATCAGTAGGCATACCTTGAATAGGAGTCATAAGCCATGGCTCTTGTGAATAACCACTATCTCCAATTAACCACGAATTATGATCACCATTATTGTACATTTCTTCTAAATGAGTCCTTACATTGGAATTTCTCCAAATAACTGTGTCATGAGATGCTCCACCATAATTTGCTTTTATATTTGGAATCAATAGATTTGCATCACATATTAATTGTACATTTTTTGAATGATATTGCTTTCTATTGAAATATAGATGCTCATCCTCTTGAGGTGTAACAATGGCAATATGAGTGCCATCAATGCAGCCTATTACTCCTGGAAATCCAAATTGCGCCATAAACTGTTCTTTTTTTCTGTTGCTTTTCAGCTTCACTTAATGGGAATTTTACCCATCTATGAGCAATTGACTCTAGAGCCAGATAAACTTCAGACACTGCTCTGCTAAATGATGGTTGTGTCAATGCCACATACGCCTCATTTCCTCCTGCCTTCTGATATGAGCCCTGAGCAAAAACCTTAGGGCACCAAAGATCCTTATATGGGCGAGAATTCTTGTGCCTCTTGCTCCTGCATCCATATGAGGGGTAAGATCACGAATGAGATCTTGTACCAACTGCCGACTAAGTCTGAAGCACTTTCGGAGCTCTCGTTCAGGCAATTCGAATGCATTTTGTTTATCTCGTAAAGTTCTCCGCTCCAAATGTAATTGGTTTTGTGCTTCTTCATCTTCTGCGTCCTGTAGCAAATGAAGGAATATTGGATCCATACTTTTATATGTAGGTGCTATTTTTTGTACTTCTACCTCCTTACATAAACTTGCACGAGTCGTAAAATCTAAATTATTCTTAATTCGGAATTTCCCAACAAATTGGCAAATTAAACAAGCAAAACAACAAATATTCTATATCGTTGCAACTTACCCGAATGACTTCCGAAATTTCCCTAAAAGATGTCAATGTTTTTATTATGGATAGTGCACATTTCTCTATAACCGAACGCCCGTAGAGAGAACAGTACAGAATAAGTTCACGACATAGAAAGAAATTTCCTCTCTATACTTAAAGAAAGAAATTTCGGTTTCTAGGACGATACAGAATACGCGTGCAGAACTTTGGTTCAAGCTTTGGAACGCGAGTTTTTTCATCATTCCTTATTTTAACGTTTTAGATGCAAAATATTGTTATTCGTTAAATGAAATAAATATTTTGGAAAATACCCCATTAGATTACTCGTAAGGAAATATGGTAATCATCATTTTTGAAATACTCCATTTATTTCTGGTTAACAATAAAAATGTCGTTTGTACACACCCTACAGTGCTAAAACTAACTCAACCCATGAATGTATTATACTCACAACGGCACACATTGAGTGCCAAGAATTGTCGTTATGTATCTTTGATATCAACTCTACGTGAAATAATGTGCATTATTCACACGTTTTTATCATTTTTTTAGATAGCTCAAGTTCATGCCGAAAATGGAAAAATCATAATAAAAAATGCGGAAAAGCTTATCGCAAAAGGAGTTACTGGTCCTGAAGGACACGAAATTTCAAGGCCCGAAGAAGTAGAAGCAGAAGCAGTAAATCGGGCATGCGTTATTGCAAAACAGGTAATTTTTAGATATAAACACAAAAATGTCTTTCTCTGTGTCACATTGTATGCTGTATCGTGAAAATTTAACACAAACTGATGATACCGAATTCAGCGTACAAAAAAATAAGTAGCTGTTTAGTTTTCATACGTCACAGAATAACGCACTTCCTGAAAAAAAATATCCTATTGTAATATTCTCATACAAGAAGATCAAAATTGATGGTTGTGATTAATCGCTCAATTCTTTGTGCTGCTCATTGCTGTGAATGCGTTGTCGCATTTTTAATTCAAAATTGTGACTACGGATAACTTCCAGTAGAATTGAAAGAATATATCTTTGGCTCCTTTTAGTAAAGCACGGTCACGGAAAATCCCTGTTAGGAATCACTGCCACCAGTTTGACTTCCTGTACAGTTTCCCTTATTTTAGCATACGAATGATTCTCCTTAGGTAGACTGTCCTTTATACATTGTTCACATGATGAGCGCCGAGGCCGTGGAGGCGTTGCAGTCGCATCGTAATCGCTACGGCGGTAACGTGTATGGAGAGACGCTGGCGTGCGCGCTTGCGATAGATGGCCGTCAATGTAGGCATGAGTGTTTCGCACATGCGGCCGGACATATCCTCAGCCCGCCTTTGAGGTCCAATGCGCAAACGCCCACAATGCTCATGAAATTCCTTCAGGCGTAAGTCTCCGCTTGCGCTTGTGGCGGCGTTTGGTGAGCTGGACACGTGTGATGTACGTCGGAATGGAAACATGAGGTTTTCTGGTTCGATAAGTCGTGGATATAAAAAACCCTTTGAGTGACTCTTCCAGTATCGAAGACAAACGGTTATTCGAACTTTTTTGGAATTTTAACTGTATTGTGTCTTGTTCAGACATTCAGTAATCCATGTGACTTTAAATTATGAGGACATGGAAGGAATTTAGCCGGTTATACATCCTTATAGAATTATGTCAGATTATCCAAACTAAAAATTGTGTATATCAAATCTTCAGTCAGCGAACAAAGCATTGTTCAATATTCGTTTATCCACCTTTGAATTACTTGATGAAATACGAATCTATCCGCAACCTTTTCAAAATCCCTGCGTTTAATATTCGCGCCTGCAGAATCCTACGTTGCTGGTGAAGAACAAAAAATGTTTCCGCTAATGCGCGGAGTGATGAAACATTCTTCTAGCTAGCTATCTAACCGGTAACCTTAAAGATTCTGCAGCTGCAAGTTTGTCGTTTTTTAGTGAATGCACTCGACTCTCCGTAGCAGCACAACACTAGATGAGTGTTGACTCAAATTTGATTGAGAATTAGTGTACTTAATTCAAATACCATAGAAAAAATTCTATAGTCGTGCCAAAAGAAGCCATGTGGAGCAGTAACATGTTCGAGCTAAAATCGGTCACTGCAGAACGGCCGCATTGGTATTGTTCTCTGAAAAGGAAAATCTTAAAACTGTGTCAACCGAATAAATTCATTAAAACACAATATCACGAGTTTGTTTCCGAAAGATATACAACACCCCTGATGACACCTTGGCACTACCTCTCAAGTGTATACTATTGATGAGTGCATACTCCTGCCAAAGTTTTATTCTGCTAAAATAAAGTGCAGTGTCAGAGCCCTTTACCATTGGATTAGACAGGATCAGGTCCATAAAAATAGGATTGTAGGGATCATGTCATAAACAGAAGCTTTGTTCGTGTCGAGCAACCACTTGATTCAACGTCTCGTGTATAACAATATTATCTTCGACCTGCTTGGCCAGCATCCAAAAAGACTACCACTGGTTTGCAACATTACCATATGCTCAACTTTCGCAGCATGCTGATTTTTATAATTACAAGCTTTCTTATATTTGACCCTACACTTGGTCTTCGCTTATCTGTTCTCAGCATTAGGATTATAAACTGTTTTCACATCATACCTGTATGTTTAATTTGCTGATCGGTTGTAGCTTGAAAACATACACAATCCATGGGATTTGACAAACTAAATTTTTGATCTAATTCAAGTTAGTCAAACCAGCTCATTCATATTGTATACCAAGAAAAGCTCATGTTCCTCAATTTTGACGTATATGCAACTAATTAATGTCCAGGCTTTGGAGAGCAAAAGATCACTAACTGCAGCTTTGCTTGTGGTGTTAACACTGGATTCCATAGAATGAATCATTCATGTGCCATAAAAGATACATTTCTGGTAAATCAGATCTGATAATGAGAGTTAAGGTTGATTCTGACTATACATTCCGTTTCCATTCCGTAACCGTTCCGTAAATTATTGAAATTATATTCGCCTTCGCTTAAAGCAGGTTATTGCGTGTGTATGCACATTATCCGTAAGGTATACTGTGTATACAATCACATTGTACGGAACCTTTACGAAACTGATATGGAATGGAAACGCACTGTATAGTGAGAATTAACCTTTATTCTACCTTTCAACTTCACTATACTGTCTCTTACTAGATCACAGTACCTATGGAGAGCAGATTACCAGTAAAGAGACATTTTGTTTTTTCTTTGGACTATCAGTTTTCATGGAGCGCGTTTTGCCAAGGTCCAGCGATGGAGCGCTTTTAGACTGCACAGCACTAGAGTTCCGCCCACGGTTGTAGGTGGTCACTTCAAAATACCTCACGAAACAAGAAAGTACCTAGTATACTATGGTACCATGTGCGTAGTCCAGTTTCCCTAAGGAAAATTGCAAACTGCGCAAGCTGATCCGTAACGCATCTGCTATTCGTTCTTGCTTACAAACATGAATCGGATGATAGAGGACCATTGTTTTCACTCACTCGCTGAAAATTCTTCTAACACTTCTACTTTGTACTTGTATCTTGAGGCACTACCATGTTTTATATGGAAAGTCAACATGGGTAAACACTAATTACACGTTCATGACAAGTTGTCACACTGACAATGACAGTTGTAAATTTGAAACACTCATGCGTTGACAGGAGAAATCCGCGCAAAGAGGCCAATTGCATATGTGTGAGATGGATTTATGGAAGTAATTCCTGTAGTCTTACTTTGTCCTACCAAACACAGGTAAAAGACATATAGTAGTGGAATACTTTTGAAAGTTCGTAACATTTAATCAACATACTATAAAATCTGGCAGCCAAATGAAAAGTGTTGTCAAACTGACAAACCTATCCAATGACTACTACTATTTAGCACAACAGCGCTGCTTCGCTGGACCGCTTCACGTTGGTTGAACGCACTTGTAGATTAATTATTACATTTGAAAAATACGGCTTTCCAACTTTGCCCAAGTGGTACAGATTCTTGTTTTTCTTAAAGCAATAACCCATGATATAAATATTTTAATATCATCAAGTATGTGTGTGCCTAAAAATTCTAGATGCATTCATTATGAGATCTTTAACGCTATGATCATGTGTGTATTTGATTTTCTCATCATCACTCTGCTGACTAACATAAACTGCTTGGTGTTACGTGTGTCTGTATTTAACATATAGGTTGGGTCTCCGCTTTATGTGTCTAACGTGACCTCGGACCAATCCGCGGAGGTCATATCCGCCTACCAATCAAAAGGAGTGATTGTTTACGGTGAGGTGGAAGCATCATCCGTTGCGGTTGTCGGTCAAAGCAACAATCCTAATCTGCTGACGTCACCACCAATTCGATCATCTCCTCAAGCTCAAACTAATTTACTAAGCTTCTTAGCATCGTAAGTATAAAATAATATTACCTAACATATAAGTTGTGTCGGTAATAAGTACATTAATATTAATTAACAATAGAACTTAACCAGAGCAACAGGTTTCCGTATACAATTTTGTCTAAAATTTTGTGGACTCTTCAGAAACAGCGATGACCACTCACTGAAAAACCTGTTAATTAGAATGTTGTCAAATTTAGGGGGATACTCTACGCGTAGTAATATTAAAAAATATAAAACATTGATCGTCGTATTCTCCGTTTTGGTGATATTTTGCCGTCTTTGAAAAATTGTACGTCACCCGTTCTTGTAAGTGAAATTGTGACATTTGATAATATGTATGCTTCTGTGTATATGTATATTTTTGCATATCTTAGCGTGCTGAACGAGTTCCTCAGTTTTCCTGACAACTTTTTGTAACACCCTGTATAAGTCGGTGAGAATACGTTAATCAATGGAATAATCAATAAACAATGTTGCAAGATGGTTAATATACGAGTTAAAATTAATGTAGCGCTCTTCATCAAATTCTCTATTTTAGGGACATTCTTCAAGTAACAGGCAGTGACAACTGCACGTTCAACCAGTCACAAAAAGCTTTAGGAAAGAACGACTTCAGAAAAATCCCCAACGGTGTGAATGGCGTAGAAGACAGAATGTCTGTGATTTGGGAGAAAGGCGTTCATGCTGGTATCATTGACCCCAGCAGATTCGTAGCTATTACCAGCACAAATGCCGCGAAGATTTACAATCTGTTCCCCAGGAAAGGTGTGATTGCGGTTGGATCTGATGCTGATATTGTCATATGGAATGCTAACGAGACTAGAACGATATCAGCTAAAACTCACCATCAAGCTGTGGACTTCAATGTCTTCGAGGTAAGTAATACAAACATTATGTTAAATGTCAAAAAGTACCGACGAAATATCAACTTGCTAACTACATATCTCCTAGTGTGCAAAGAGTTTATTCCGCACTTGCTCGCTATGAGAGTCACCTATGGTGGAATGGCTCAACGACCATGCTGAAAGCCAGTTCGCCGTCATGCTTTGTTGGTTGCAGAATGTAAAGTTTTGTGCTGTAGAGTATATCTCTGAAAAGATATGTGACATAAAGAAAATTGGTTGAGTAGTGAGACTACATCTGGATGATTATTTTTTTTTCGCATGTGCTGATTGGCATTTTCTATTGCCATGGCAAAATAAATTTCTATAGAATGTAAATGACAAAAAAGTAATATAAAATGTAATAACCTTTTCACGTTTCATAAATATTCCTGTCTGTAGACTATTTTCTCACCTGTTAGTTGTAAGATATCTATGTCCACTATCCAGGGATATTTTTAACTATCTCATTTTTAAAATCCAGCAAAGGAGGTGGGGTTTTTTCGCCCATAACACACTGAAAAATAAAAAGTTCGATTCCAGACTATAATTGAATTTATTTGCGAACTTCAAGACGTGTATTTTTTATCATATAATATTTACGGTATAAATAATATAATATGCTTCAGAAATTATTGCCAAGAAATAGAGTATTTAGCGCTTTTTGTGCATTTTTGTTGTTTCTCGATCCTTGAATCATGTTTTCCATACGAAGCGTTCCATGAACCACATTAACTTGAATGCTCAGTGGGTTCTACTTATTATAAGCTTGTATATGAGTATTTATTTGTTTTGGTTCAATGAGCGCATCAATCAAAAATGCGTAATATATGCTGCGGGAGAGTGTTCAGACATGATTTTTCGCGCTAGAAAAGTATTTACGTAGTAAAGGTATAGGCAGGTCTGATAGTGATTCGAATGAAGAAGATTGGTAAAAAATATATTGAGTGTATGAAAACTGATTATCTTTTATTACTGTTCAATAAACACTCAGATAATTATTTAATTTATGTATACCACGAATTTTAGTTTTCATTCGAAATAAGTATGTTTTCTTCTTCATAAATACAGGGTGCATCATCTATTACTTTTTTCTATTTGATAAATAAACACGCTTTTTACGAGGTGAAATCGAATTTTTTTATTGATAAATGGAGGTTGGTTTATGCCATTTATGTATGAAAAATAACATCAGTCATGTGACCACCGCGGCTTCGTTTACAGGCCAACATCCGAACATCAAAATTTTCAATGACTTTTCCCAGAATAATCGGGTCTATGGCTGCAATTTCAGTCCGAATATTGCGCTTTAGGTCTTGAATTGTCCGGGGACCACTCACATTCACTTTTTCTTTCAAAAATCCCCAAAGAAAATAGTCAAGAGGTGTTAAATCGCACGATCTCGGGGGCCAACTGACATCTGAATTTCGTGAAATTGTGCTGTCTTGAAATTTCGTGTGCAATAAGGCGATTGTTTGGCGAGACGTGTGAGCCGTTGCTCCGTCTTGATGAAACCAAAGATCGTCGGCACCAATACGATCCAATTGTGGCCACAAAAAGTCTGTTAACATGCCGCGATAACGTTCCCCGTTGACGGTAATGGCCTTTTCTTCGGCATCTTCAAATAAGAATGGTCTAACGATGCCACCAGCCCATAACCCGCTCCAAACAGTCACTTTTTCAGGATGGAGAGGTTGTTCATGATATTGGTGTGGATTTTCAGCCCCTCAGAATCTGAAATTTTGCTTATTTACGTACCCATTGAGGTGAAAATGAGCCTCATCAGAAAAGAGCACTTTGGCCGAAAATCCGTCTTCTCTTTCCAGCATCCAATTAACAGAACCACGCCGCTGTTGATGGTTTGCCTGCTTCAATTCTTGTGTTGGTTGGATTTTGTATGGATGGAGGTGTAGATCAATGTGTAAAATCCGGCGTAAAGTGGTCTCACTAATTCCGTATTGTTGCGAACGGTGCCTAGTCGACGTGGTTGGATCTTCTCGCACACTTTCACTCACTACGGCTATGTTTTCACGAGTACGAGCTGGACGAGCATGTTGGTATGGTCTACGACCTTCAGCTGAACCAGTTTCTTCAAAACGATTAACAATTCCAGGCTCTGAAGGGGGTTCATGTCCGCCAAAACTAGTGCGAAGTTTACGAAAAGTATTTTTTATATTTCGACCGTTTTCGTAATAAGTTTGGATAACCAAAATGCGTTGTTGTGTTATAAACGAAGCCATGACTATAAATGGCATATCTTTGACAGTTCATTTATGCATTCCTCATGACTTCTGACTCACATGGTACAAACTGATAGGTAAAAAAAAGTAATAGATGGCGCACCCAGTATATGTCATATCTATTCGCTGATGGGCGAAAAATGGCTCTTATCAGCCTACCTCCTTTGCATATGTAATTTCCAGGATGAAGCATACCTTCTCACGTGAGTATATTTCAGACAACAAACTATGGGAATTATTAGCATACAAATCCTCACTATGCACCTATGCACTGCCGTTTCCTTCCAGCTGTAGTATACATCTTACAGCTTAGACCTCCAATAATGCCATCTCTGAAGCAGATATTACATCACACCAGAGCCAAATGTTGATAGATGTTCAGTTACAGAAGAGTGCACATAAAGTAAACGACAGCTAGTTCTAAGTTGACATCTTGTAGAAAAACCGACATAATGTCACTTTTCAAGATACGTAATACCCCTGCCAGTCTCTCAAGTAACCAGGTTTCATACTTACTGTCAAACACCAGAAATTGGGCAATACAGTAATTACTCGGTCAATGACGATAATGCCCAGCCAAGTTGGAAATAATACAAGCGCACTGTTGATGCCATTGGCTAGGAGATGACTTTAAGTGTTCGCCAAGCAGCGGAACAAGTGTAATGTAATTTTACTTTTCAAACCAGCATGGAATCTGATGGAATGCCCCTCTGATTTTCAGAAAGCATTAGTGTCATTATAGAAACTAAACGCGATGACAAGAAATCTTTTCTTCAAACGTTAAAATTTATAACAATCGTATTGCCGAAATTAGATATGAAAATACATCTATGTCAAATCCAGTTCTAGGTACAGCAACATTTTTCTTCTTCTGGTTGTTGTTTTTGTTTCTGCGAATATCGTAACATTCCCCGATAACATTAAATATTTATTAAATATTTTTTTAAATGTTTGTTAAATATTTGTAGCGACAGATTTTTTAATATTTAATAAATATATTTCTTATATATTCATAAAATATTCATTATAGATATTTGTGCGATATTTTTTCCAAACAGAAAATATATGAGGAAAGATTTTTAAATATCAATTTTATATTTTGATGAAATACCTAATATTTTTCGTAAATATTTAAAAATATTTAAATATATTTTCAAGCATTAATCTGATGCATATTTTCAGTGTATACAGAAAATTTTTCATTGGTTATTTTAGCAATGTAGGAATACTTATACAGGGTGTAAAGGTTATGATAGTAATTATTTAAATGGGTGATAAAGGGGGTTAAAAGAAGCAAAAAGTTTCATATAACATGGGGGTCGAAACGGCATTTTTTTAGAGACAAGCCACTTTAAATTAAAATAAAATCTGACAACGCTGCAATGCCAGGCGCAAATTACGACGGAACGCATTGTAAATAAAGATTGAGTTTATTATTTTTGGATCTTTGGTATTATTTCATTATTTGATAATGTACTCGTAAAATGCAAAAAATTAGAGTTTGGACTGTGTACAATAGCAAATGCCCGGCAATTTACAGCTAAATTGAACCTATTTATCTGCCAGATCTAATTGCCATCGAGATTATTTGAAATCCGTTTTAATTTAGACATAATTGAACGATCAGTAAATACAGTGTGTTATAATTCTTGTAAATGTGTTCATTAACAGTTTACGGTCTGTTTGAAAAAGAGGGTTCGTTGCGATATGATGAAGGGCATGTTAATGTATACAGTTTGTTACCGCAAGCATACACAGCAAGGTCACATGGAGGGAAATTGTACAAGTTTAGCTATTTGCCGCTGTTTTGAGGTATTCAGTAGTAAATCGGCGAAACTATCGATCGTTCTTGGAAGAACTTCAACGCCCGATTTTACTAACAGGAAATCAAAATTCTTGATTCGGATCATGATGGGCCAATGAATATGGTCGATTTCTTTCTAAAATAGCCAAAAAATATACGAGTTGTATCTATTTCACTCCGCATCTGCTGAAGTCTGCAATAATATACAGGATGTAAACGTTATGATAGTAATTATTTAAATGGGTGATAGAGGGGGTTAAAAAAAGCAAAAAATGGGGGGGGGGGGTCAAAACGGCATTTTTTTAGAGGAAAGCGAAGTAAAATAAAATCTGACAACGCCGCAATGCCAGACGCAGATTTCGACGGAACGCAGTGTAAATAAAGATGGAGTTTGTTATTTTTGGCCCTATTATTTCATTATTTGATAATGTACTCGTAAAAAGCAAACAATTAAAAAAACGGACTTACCATTAACTGCCTCAGCGCTTCACCTGGTGTGTGAAAGTTTATTGAACGTATTAAAAAAATCCACCTATAAATGGGGAACACAATTTTGATACATATACTAAGTGACATATAAATCCGAACACCCAGTTTAAATGGTTTTATTTTAATAAAATTTTGTGTAAGTACTTAATGAAGCATAATAAGTAAATGATAAAAATTTCAAAATGATTGCACTGCTTTAAAGCCCTTTGACCTTTAATAATGTGTGGATGCACCCTGATGTGCTACGCATTCTCCAACGCGCCTAGGCATGCTTCTGATCAGGTGGTCAATGTCCTCCTGTGGTATCTCATTCCAGGCAACCACCAACTCCTCTCGAAGTGCTTCTAGAGTCTGAGTAGGACGTTGCAAATTGAGCAATCTCCTACCCATCATATCCCACACGTGCTCAATTGGGGATAAGTCGGGAGATCTTGGTGGCCATGGTAACAATGTGACATCATTATATTGAAAGAAGTCTATTGTGACTCTTGCAACATGTGGTCGGGCATTAACTTGTTGGAAAGTTGGAGTTCATGTTACCTCTGATGAAGATTAAAGGTGACCTAGAACCATAAGCTATAGCACCCCAAACCATAACTCCAACAGTGTGATGAACATGTCTTTCAACAAAAAACTGTGGATTCCTCCTTTCACCGCATCGCCTTCTAACCCTGGCACGACCATCGTGCATGCCTAAACAAAATCGAGACTCGTCACTAAAGACAATACTGTATCATTCCTGATCCCAGAGTGACCGTTGTGTGCATCACTCAAGGCGATTACGTCGCTGTTCTCGAGTTGAAGGGAGGACCCAGTGTGACCGGTATGAAAACAAGCCAAAACTTCTCATTCGTCGGTAAACACTTCGCATGCCAATAGGTCTTCCGTGTTCTGCAAACCATTCATTTGCAATGGACCTGGTAGTGGAGAAACGGTCCCTTAAGGCCAATAATCTTAGGCGGCGATCTTCACGGTCTGTTGTTCTACGGCGGCGTCCAGTGCCCCTTGCTCTTTGCGTACGGCCTTCTCGAAGCCATGCCTGACAACACCTAACCACAGTGTCTACACTTATTTGCACTCTAACTGCAATTGCCCGAAAAGAAAGTCCAGCTTCCCGAATTCCCACTATACGGCCCCTATCAAACTCACTAAGTTGACGAAATCGTACAGGTCTCCGTACTCTAGGCATCGTAACCGATCGTAAAGGATGTCAAGAACCAAAATCCGCCAACGTTGATTCTTGACTGCGGCTGAAATATTCATTTTTAGAGCGTTAGTGAATTAAAAAAAAGCAGTTATAAAAACCCGAATGTCCAACTGATAAGGCTGAAAATTTTTTCACTTGTTATTTACAGTAAGATAAATACATTCACCAACTTTTATTAAAATAAAACCATTTAAACTGGGTGTTCGGATTTATATGTCACTTAGTATACATTGTTTTTCTTTTTAAAACTCACACTGCACTTTTTTTGTATTTAAACAAGATGTTCAAAATGTTGTCCTCTACTTTCCACACAAGCTTCATTACGACCTTCACGAATGGTATGACGATTTTCTTGAGCCTTCGTGTAAGTACATATTATGGAAATTTAATATCCCGTCTCGCGTAAAAGTACATTCGTCCGTCGCTAGAATGTTTTTAAAAAAATCCGGATTTTCAATGTTTTTGTGCAAAAACCACTGACAGAATGTTAGTCTGCGAGGATCGTCTTCTGGCAACAAGGCCTGCACTCGTTGTACATGGTAGGCATAAAGCAAATTTTCCCGTAGGATTCTATGGACTATGGTATGCGATAGTCCTACGTGGCGGCCTAATTCTCGAGTGCAGATATCTGCATTGATTTCCACGATACTTTGTTCCTTCTGCTCTACAGTAATTTGTCTTTCACGAGTGCGAATATTAGTGGGCTGAACACTTCCTGTATCACGAAGTCTTTGGTACACTTGCACAAATGTACTTTTGTCTGGGTGTACCCGTTGGCGAAATCTGTCGCGATAAATTTGAGCTGCTAGATTTGAATTCTGTAAATCAAGTCGACGACGTCCGCGAACAAAAACACAACAACATACTAACCACTGTTACAGTTTGCGATTGATTGCTGGTTCGATAAGAGTGATGATGACCGACGCGCTGTTGTCATGTGTGTTTTAAATATTCAATTTAATGAAACTTCTTAGTTACTGACTACAAATTTTGGCTTAATTTATAAAAAACTTAATACCATTAATTTGTTAATTACCCAATTTAAAAACGTTTTAGATTAGATTATAAAAATTAGTAAGATTGTGATGATTGTGGTCGATATAAAGCACTTAAAGTTGTAAACTATAAAGCCATTTAGACAAAAATCTATTGACCTTTGGTCCATGGGTAATATGAACTTTTTGTCTTGTTTTGACCCCCCCTATTACCCATTTCAATAATGACTACCATAACGTTTACACCATGTATAAAATTGTGTTTATAAAGAAAATTCATTCTAGATATAATGGTTTATTTGCTAGAAAAATATTATTAAAAAACATTCTTAGCCTCATCTGCATCTTGCAAGTTCACTCCTCTGAAAAAAAAAACTAATCATGAAGTACTATTGAATACATTAGCTGCTTTCCAGTGTATTTATGGGAATATGAAATGCAGTGGAACAATATTGGTGCTGAGCATGGTGCGTTACTCCGAGTAGCTCAACTGGGTAATTGAAAAGCAGCTCTATAATGCACCTAAATGGACCCCACATTTTCTGTCTATGATAGTTCGAGATTTGGTTAATTTTTCGATCTTCAAAGGATGATTCCGATGGTGAAGCGGCGATTGTCCGGCAAAGATCAATCACTGCATCGGAATCATCAGTTGAAGTACGGCGAGCCGCTGACGAGTCTCCGGAGACCGTTTATGCATACCAGAGTAAAAGTTATCTTCAAAAACCTTCATCTTTGCTATTGGAACGGTTTTTTAGATACTTTTAATTTAATGAAGCCGAATCTGTTTTAGGGCATGACTTGTCATGGTGTTCCGGAGTACGTCATAGTTAACGGCAGAGTATGCGTCGACGAAGGCCAACTCAGAGTGGCCGAGGGCCATGGAAGGTTTATCGAAACCCCAGTGTTTCCACCCTACGTGTACGATCCAGAAAAATACATCACACTACTCACTGAACATAAAAATGGAACAGTGGAACAGAATACGCAAAACTTCCAAAAGGTTTGTTTGTAAACATTCGTCCGTTCAATATTTTGGAATCTATTAGGAAGCATGCTTTTCATATTTATCCTTCTATATTCGCTTTCAGATCCATTTGGAGCAGTATTCATGTGAAACCCCAACATTTCCTGAATCAGTAGTTAACACTCCCTCTTGTAGGGGCGCAAGACCAGAGGGCCAAAGAAATATCCAAGAATCAACATTTTCAGTTAGTGGTATGTGTACATAATACGAATTCAATCCATTGAATTCCGATTTTAGTCGTGTGTTTGTTGATATCTCTACTGTGTGGTTGGGGGTAATTCATGTATCCATGGGTATTTAATTTTAAAAAAGCAGGATGCAAGTAATATCTTAATATTTCTGTTGCAGAAGAACTAGATGTTGATAAGAAGACATCTACCCGAGTGAGACATCCTCCAGGTGGTAAATCGTCTGGCTTTTGGTAAAAACAAACTCACAAACCGATTTTTTACGACCAGTGACGGTAAAATGCTTTTGAATGACGCTTTTTAAATTTTTAATTGTATCGGATGCCGTGAAATGACTACAAATGATAATCTGTTGCAGTCTGTGTATCTAAGTTCTCAATCACCGTATTCATGAAATTAACTTCTGGGGCATAACTTTTTTATGATAGATTCAGTACAGTTGGGGTTTTAACCTTAATGACATGTAAATCATAATGATGTTAGTGTTGCTTCTATTTGTTCGGCCCAAAAATGTAATTTTAAGATGTCCATGGAAAATCATCTCTTTTCAACTCGATTAAAATGGATATTTTAGGAATAAAACTGCAAAATCTATATTCATTTGCATACTGTATGAGATATTGAAAATATCATTTATGGTTTCTTTATATCTTGCGCAAAAGTATTTGATCGCCTTGTAGCTTGCAAGCTGGCAGGTATCTATGATTCAGTATCTTAGAATTGTGTTGGTCAAATCGAGACTAAACTAAAAGTAAAACCAACTTGAATTTTATTATTTATTAAATTCTGACAAAAATAATGTTTTAACTGGTTAGATACAAAATATTATCAATGGAAAAGACAGGATACATTCTTTAGATGTCAAATAGACAATTGTTTGTGGTGTTTCCAAATTTGTTTATATCGCATAACTGGTAAATGGATTGTTTCATCCAGTACCGGATATAAATTACTCATAGACAAGAATAAATTGTTACTGTAATATAGCATTGCAAAATGCTTAAAAACGTCTCTTCTAATTACTTTTTTCAAGAAATGCGAAAATGTATTAACTGACATGGTCTTTGAATGTTAAATATCTGTACGTTTGTTTGAAATATTAGCACAAGTTTTGTTTATGAGTGTATATTTAGCTAACTGCTATATCGTTGTTCATAAAAGTATCATTACATTGTTACCATATGAATTAAGTTTAAAGAAGGTAACAAAGTATATTTTTTTCTCATCCAAGTTCCAGCACATTCAATGTTTCATCTAGGTTTCACCACATTGGACATGTTTTTGTTACATTGGAGTTATAATTATGGCTGCCACTTATTCGGTATTTATAGAAAAACAATGAAATTCCTATTTTATAACTCCACTTTATGTCGCGTTTCAAACGTTTTCTAGAGCGGCAAAGTAGTCTGCTCTTTACACAAACAAATTGCTGTACAAGTGCTGGAACTTCATACATACTACATGCCTATATTCAAACTTAACTATTGCAATACTTTTTGTCACTGTACCTGTTAATTTTTATTTATTTGTAGAATAGTTTTATTTACACTTGGTCTGCTTATACTACTTTTGAAAGGCCAGTTTGTTATTTATTGTTAAGTTGCAAATAATGACTACTGTCAGAACAAGACATATGCAGCTCTAAAACGGAAATAAGCAATTATGCATGCAAACGTTTAGACTGAATCATTATACTTTTCGGTTTTTAATGTAATATGAGGAAGGCACGCAGGTATTTCATTGAATATTAGTGTTTGTATTGTATTCTTTTGAAACTTAATAAAAAATATCTGAAAGTAGGCTTTCGATGTTTCATTTATAATAATAATAGAAAGAATATCGAAAACGACTCTAGTGTCAACGTATGTTGTTCGAAACTCGGCATTCAGACTTAACTGATTTTATTGTTAGTTGGAAGTTAACTTTCAAGTAATATAACATCTGAAACTTACCCTCGATGATAGCTGAATCAAAGACTCCAGTTAACCGCAAGCTCGCCAAGATTCAAAGACTGGCGGCGCTGGCAACATGTTGTATACGGCATAGAGGCAACACAAAACGACAAAAAATATGTCTCCTTGGCGCATGCTACAAGTTGCCCGTTGTAGCCTCTCGAGGGTGCCGTCAGCGACATGAATCCACGTGTTGATCAGTGTCGTCGGCTATAAAGGCGCAATTCCACTGAGGCAACAATGAACGACATGTGGCATGCTACTTGTTTCCTAGTGGTGCCTCTTGTTGACGTTTGACAGTGTTGCCCAAAATTCTATTAATGCCGCATGCGGATTTTGTTCCCCTATGTGGCATGCGCTTTGTCGTACATGAGTAGAGCATCCGTCTTCACGATTCAATTCAAGCAACTCCAGTTTAGTACGCCAGGTCATTACAGACAGTCGCGGCGGCTGCTTATTTAGTAATTTCTTCGGATCGCAAAAAAACGCCAGAATATTGGAGAAATATATACGTAGATAGTCAAGAAATTCAGTACAATTTGTGCAACAACTTGGTGGCTGACGATAACGCTTTATTCCGAAATTTCACACGGATGAGTAAAGACGATTTTCACTACTTACTTGAAAAAATCTTACCTATGATAAAAAAATGTGATACCAACTTTCTGGAAGCGTGAGATTGCTAGTGATAGTTATAGACCGAACAGATGTATTTTCCTATTTAAAGGAATCAACCGTTAATAAATAAGCCAACTATGGAAGGAAAATGATGTCACGTGCCAAAATCACGTAACCTTTTTTTTTACTATTTATCACTTACCCTTAATTTGAATTTCTCTTCATTGATAATAGAGTGCCCATTTCTAGGCCAAACCCTTTTCAATGATTCTCTATTTGCAAATTTAATGGTTTATTGATAGTGTAATTTCACTTGTATTATATCTTTCTTTCTCAGCGGTAAGTTCCTTTTTTATATACCTTCAGACCGCGTGCCTTAATGCATGTCCTGATGACGTTCGTTAAATATCTGCTTCCTTTTTGTCAATAGAAACAGAAGAGAACAAATCCTATTCCCACTTGATGAATGTGCAGACATCGAGTTTTCCGCCAAGCTATCTGCCCATACCCAACAAATTGTCCACTCTACAGGACAGAACGTAAGATAAGACAAGATAAAGTAAAACAACGTAATTCAAGAGTTATACTTAACAAGGGAGTTATCAATCGACAAACTCCTACCCTCCTTCACATAAATGGATGAATCTGACAAGGTAAGGCAAGAGTAAGCAACTAATCCCTCTAGTAAATGACAAGCATAATAATATTCAGTATATCGCATAACCACTCGATAATAGGAACAGCTACGTGGAAAAATCCAACAATTAAGACTCAACACGGTAGGGATTCACTTACCTTAGTCTTTTCAACTACCTATAATATATTGCTGTTAGTGATATCGTCGTATTACTCTCTATTATTGTAGGTAGGTCTTTATGATATTGTCTTATCTATTGGCCCGACGGGCTGGGCCTTAGAATCTGTCCGTGGCGGGAAAACTGCCATTAGTAAAAGTCCATCATGTGTTCACACTTTATAACATCTAAGATCTACCATCTGAACAACCTGGCTTAGATAAGTAAATCACTACTCTTGTCTTACCTTGTCACATTCATCCATCTATGTGAAGGAAGGTAGGAGTTTGTCCATTGATAACTCCCTTTGTTCGGTATAATTCTTGAATTACGTTGTTTTATCTTCTTATCTTACGTTCTGTCCTGTAGAGTGGATAATTTTTTGGGTATGGGCAGATAGCTTGGCGGAAAACTCGATAGCTGCACATATCAACAAGTGGGAATACGATTTGTTCTCTACTGGAGTGCGGGTACGTTTTTTTTTTAATCAATATATTGTGATCCATTTGATATCTTGTTTATTTGGCTCTCTCTGTGTGTACTGTTACTTAAATTTCGTCAACTCTGATAGATTCTCCTTTTGTGTGGTGATCAAGCAAAACAAGTTCCGACCAACATCTCGGGGAGTTGTGGCTTAATCCGTCCTAAGTCACTGGGGCTCTTAACCCGCCCCTACTCTCCGCTTTATTGAGCTAGGGCCTAAATTTTGCACGCCACTAAACAACTGTTTTGCTTGGACCAAGCGTTATATAGTATTTATCATTGTGTTTTATTAATTAACCAAAAAAAGGCGTGGCAGTGAGAAGCTGTTTCCTTCTTGTCCCCCTGAAACCATAACCAACCGATGACAGTACTGTTTCGGGCTCATTAGCCCTCGTCAGTACGGTATATGTCTCCTCGTCTAGTAATGGTATGTCAAGGAGACAGCTGGATAAGAAGCAAACAATCGTATACCTCTAAAAGACTAAAGGTACTGTACGCTAGCAAGTGGCCGTAGCCACCAACTATTTTTGCCTCCTGTAATTTATCCTGCTTTAGTCGTACATCCTTATATCTTTCCGATTTGTTATTCCATAATTCATCCGAATTATGGTAATCTTGATCAACACGACGGCGCGCTCGAGAGGCAACAACGGGCAAATTGTGGCATGCGGCAAGGAGACATTTTTTTGTCGCTTTGTGTTGCCTCTATGGAAAGACAATGTGCCGTATCCTACATGTTGCCCAAAAGTTGCCTCAGTGGAATTGCGCCTTAAAAAGCGTTGGGACGGTGCGGCTTGGAGCAGGCGACAAAATGGAGTGAACCAATGAGAAAACATTATGTTTAATTGAAGATTACCATAATTCGGGTGAATTATGGAACAAAAAATCGGAAAGATATAAAGATGCGCGACTAAAGCAGGATAAATTACGGGAATTGTCAGGTAAATATAATTATGGCAGGCCGCGTACGACGATCAGGCAAAAATAGTTGGCTTATTTATTAATGGTTAATTTCTTTAAATAGGAAAATACAACTGGTGGGTATTGGAGATTAAAAAGAAATTAAGAATTCGCGTTCGGCATTCCATCGGGAACGGAAAAAAATTACGTGAAAAAAAGAGTGGATCATCGCCCTGCAAGAAGGGAAAGTGGTTTTGTTATGAAGCACTTACCTTCCTATTGGACGTGGAAGAGCCCAGATCCACACTGTCAACAGGTGGAAGTGACGAAGAGGACATTGAGGTGAGTTTTTTTAAATATAAATACACAACTTTATGGTATTATTAAGTATATTGAAACATATGTACAAACAGGATAATTATGAGAGTAAAAAGGTAGGAGTAAAAAATCAAAAGTTAGGCGAAATTGTCCTGCCAAGGCACACGGCTTTCATCCGATTAAAAATACCTCAAAAATACTTTAGATTCAATAGTTGCCCTTGTTGCTCTATTTGACAAATCCTGCAGACCAGTATCACCTTGGACGTCTGCCCGCTATGATCCAGGAAATTTTTTTCCATCTTGTGTTTCGTTATCTGAAGTTCCGTGAGGGCAATGTAATGATCGCGAGGTGTTACTCCTTGTCAAAAAATTATGGAGGTAAATACATGTCATTGTGACAATTTCAGCGTTTTCCAAATTTATCATCAGTAGTTTTCTAAATACACGAAATACACTTCCTAGCAGCCCAAATGAACTTTCCACTACTCTTCGAGCACGGGGATGCATATAATTGTATAGTCTTTGAGAAGTGGTGTCCGCTGAAGAGTTTCATGATGTGTTCCTGTAGTGGGAACGCATCATCCGTCAATATGACATAAGGCGATAGTTTATTGCTACCAGGAAATGGTTCTGGATCAGGCAATTTCAGCGTTCTTTCAGCCAACTTTTTATGAAAGGATGATTCTCGAAAAGCATCTCCGTCGGATCCTGCCTCGGCAGCCAACATATTAGCGTATATAAAATTATAATTTGCGTCAGCAACGGCCATCAAAACAATGCTAAAAGTCCCTTTCTAGTTGAAAAAGATACTGCCACTGTTTTTTGGATTTTGGATGATAACGTGTTTTCCGTCACAAGCACCTACACAATGCGGATAATTCCAGGAACTTCGAAATCTCTAGTTATCGTTCTCGATTCGTTTTCTGAGCGTGGCATCTGGAAAAAATTAATTAACATTTACTTATACCGTTGTTAGTTATTATTTTAAATTTGACTGAATTTGCATCTTTTTAATGGCGAATTTCTTTTCAATTCTGACATACAGATTGCATCCGATGGAGATACTGAAATTGTTGACGTGTTTCATTCACCATCACAATCGCCAGTTCCGCCCTCATCAGATCAGTCAACAGCATCTGGTCCACCAAGAAAAGTGTTTGAATTTCCTCTGAAGGTAACAACGAAAAGAAAAGTGGAAGATCAACGTGCGGATAAAACATATGCCATTTTAAAGAATTGTGTTAAGAACAAAAAGGATGCTAGGACTATTTTTTTAAATGGAACTCAGCCGAGAACATTTTCGCGCCATAATTTATTACAACCTTCAGAGACAATTATCGCAACAAGAATGCGTTGCTGAGTTACTGTCTTCGGCAACGAAGCGCCACATCAGTCGACAATCTCCCGTTGGTGTGGAGAATTCAAACCTGGACGGGTGAGTCTTAGCGACTATCCCAGGGTGGGTGCGCCAAAAACGGCAGTCACCCAGGAAAACGCCGATGCTGTGCGCAAACTCATCATTGAAGATAGACATGTGACATATCGCGGCAATGAGGCGTCCTTGAAGATCTCAAAGCCCTCAATTCAAAAAAATTTACATGAAGAATTAGGAGTAAGAAAATTAGTTTCTCGTTGGATACCCCACCTGTTGACTGAAGAGCAGAAAGCAGCCAGGGTTAATTGGTGTCAAAAAACGCTTGACCGTTTCTCATAAAATGTGTACAGCATTGTTAGT